GAGAAGAGACTGACCCCCACCTCGCTACAACCTCCTTTCAGGTAGTTGTAGAGAGCAATAAGGTCTCCCCTCAGCCTCCTCTCCTCCAGACTAAACAACCCCAGCTCCCTCAGCTTCTCCTCATAAGACTTGTTCTCTAGACCCTTCACCATCTTCGTTGCCCTTCTTTGGACACGCTCCAGCACCTCGATGTCCTTCTTGTAGTGAGGGGCCCAAAACTGAACACCGTACTCAAGGTGCGGCCTCACCAGTGCCGAGTACAGGGGCACTATCACCTCCCTGGTCCTGCTGGCCACACTATTCCTCATACAAGCCAGGATGCTGTTGGCCTTTTTGGCCACCTGGACACACTGACGGCTCATATTCAGCTTATTCCCTTTCTCTCAATTTTAAATATCTGAATGATCACATCAGGATTACTCACATCCTTAGCTTCAAGCTGTGGACACAGAACTCAGAAATCCCATATTCTTTAGCACTGGGCAAGTATATCAACAGTGTATCATTTCCTGGTTTCTGAATTGTTCAATTTGAAAGCTACCTGCACATATATTTTAAATGAAATTACGGGTTGCTGGCAGCTAATGGAAAGGCCACCCAAAGCAGGGTGTGGTGGTGCAAGGCACTCACAACTGTGGACACCACAGGTGGTTGGCAGATGGACAGCCCAGCTACAAATGTTGGCACTGGAAAGGGTGAGTTGTGCAGAGTAGCTGAACTTCTGTTAAGCATGCCAGAGAAGGACACAATTCAAAGGAGATGACACATGGAAGATAATAAAGATGTGTCCTTTTTATCAGCCATTTTATGTTGGACTTTGTATGGAAACACTGCCTACAGCACTGGTATCTAACCAGTGGTCTGTGAGTTGGGCTTGGCTGGAGGGGTACTTCTCTCCAACACTTTAAAGCTTAGTCCTGCAAACTGCAGTGGTGGGTACATGGGCTGGGTCATGAAAAATTACTTTTTTAGCCTGATTTGTCACCTTCATAATATGAGTAAGGTATGTATATAGCAAATAAGTAATACAGATTTGAGAAGAAGCTATATTCTAGTAGGGATAAATCAGGCCTTGCCTTCTAGCTGGAACAATCTTTTGCCTCAAGTATTTCTTTTGCATGTAACTGTTGGCAACTCCATTTCCATTCCAGCCAGCTTTTCTCATTTTCTTCTGTAGTCAGCACAGTGAAGGTGGAAAGGGGGAAATCATGAAACACAGTGCCAAACCACTGAAAGGTGACTGTGAATCAATACATGACCTCTGCAGCTCAGCCACTGGTTGAGATTTGTGGTTGTGCAGATTACTCTTACTAGATGATATAGGCTTATTCAAAAAAAAAAAAGAAGAAGAAAAAAAAAGATTTGAAATGAACACAACCACAATGAAAAAACCAAGGGAGCAGCAGGCTGCTTTTATACTTCATAGAAGAAAAATGTTTTGATAAAAAAAATAATAAACAGAGCTCATCTTGGATCTCGGTAAGAATATCTGCAAAGTCAAACATGTAATGGTAAAAATTACATCATCTGTAATCTTTATACCAACTGCTTTTCTTCAAACAATAGTAACACAGAAATGCTATTTTGAGCAAAACTAGTCGCTGTATTTGTTTTCCATTAGATATACAATCTAGAATGACTCCAACAGCTAGCTGGGCATGAACTTTATTAAACCCTGTACCAGTTGCATCAGCCCTAGTAACTCACTGCCTATTCTTGCTGCTCACAATATTTCAGTCAAGCTTGAGAGGAACAGATAATATTCTGAAAATCTTTACAGGAATTAACATCGTTGTTACTCAGACACAAACAAAGCAGAGAAATTCACGTTTACTGAGCATGCCCAGCCTCAGCTGAATACTACATGCTTCTGAGCACATTACATTGATTTGATGAGTTTCAACTCTCAGTCATGATATAATACATCCCCTTTTCCCTATTCCATGAAACATCTGGCCTGTACCGTGTGCAACATCGAAAAAAAAGGAAACGTTGAAAATGTAGACTTGAAGACATCAACTACTCTTTCTTACCTCTATTCCTTCCTTGTTTAAGGCATATTCGTCAAAGTTCAAAATAGCAGTCTTGATAGTCCGGGGAGGGGGCAACACAGTCAAGCCAATATTAATAGCGTTGCTTCGTTTTGAGTCCAATACAATGATCTCCTGTCGCTTCCCATCTGCAGCAGTTTTCTTGGTAAAGAAGAAAACAAGAATATTATTTCTCCAGCCTGTTTTATAAAGAAAAAGTCACTCCTTTCACTAATGACTTCCGCTACTCAAGGGTGCTGACACTGAATGTAAATCTAATGCATTTATAGTCATCCAAAAAAGCTGAATTCCACCACATCCTTTCTGGTATCAGCATGAGCTGCTAGGGATTTAACCAGAGAGCTGAACGCAGTCTCAAATGCTGTGCAAAGCTGAGCTAGCCTGAGACACAGGAGTCCCTGCCAGGGCTGGGAACGCTGCAGTCTGGGGCAGGAGTCAGTCTGAAAAAAGCCTGAAGCTGTCTATGCCAGGGTGAAGCTGTCCTGTGTGGCAGGACCGGGTGGCGCAGGGCCAGCGGCACAGCAGCTAGGTGGCCGATGGGTTCCGGGGCTCAATTACCCCATGGACGCGTCAACCCAGAGTGGCCACCGACCTTCTCTTGCCCACGTGGCTGGCTGGGAAACAGACAGGGTGGTTCCCACCTTCCTGCCAGCACTCTCCTGTGTTATAAATCTACCCTGGGCACTGGCAAAGGAGCTGTAGAGGCCTTTCTGGAGACACTGGCATGGTTTTCTGACTTCTGGCTCTCAGAGGAAGGGTATTCTACCTTGCTGCTCATGATATGTCAATCAGGCCCTTCACAGGTGCAGAACAATTTCAACCTTTCTGCTTTTTTCAAAGTTTTCTTTGAGACTAGACATAATCTTTGGATCTTACCTCCAGTATAAACTACAGTATAAATAATAATGAAAGCACAAAGAACTAACAACATATGCTTTAAATTCTATTCTAGAGAAGACCCAAGAAATTTCTTCCTCTTTCTCCCCATCCTCATGGTGGCAAAACACGAACCAACTAGGCAAGGTGACTCCCAGACCATTTATATGGCATAACACAGTGTTGAATGTGGTTTTTGTGGCCCATCGTGCCTCTCAATCTCTCACTGTCCTGTGCTAGAAGGTGTCTCTTTGGCAACTACATATGTCGTATACCGGGCAGCTGCAAGAGGAGAGGACTCTGCTCCTCATACACAGTGGTTTTTCCTCCCTCTCCAGAGACACTAACTTTGGAAACGTGCTTTCTCTGTTTCCCCTTCTGCCCTACCAGAGATGGGCTGAGGGACACCGTCAAGCACAGGAGTGCAGGGAGAAGACCAGCACATTGATGCAAGAAAGCACAGACATGCTTTGCTGTGTACAAGCCCATGTTTCAGCAAGGCACAGGCTGCAGAGACATGACTGAGACCTCCCTGTAGAGCCTGTTACCTGGACTGTGGTTGGTGGCTCTGTCAGCAGCAGCCTTCACACAGATGTGCCTCAAAGGGGCAAAGAGAGAGACTAAGCAATCCCTCTTTCCAGGCTGCAACGTGCCAGCCCACACAACTGTTCAGAACAGAGGATCATCCATATCGTCTACAGCAGTAGTGTCTCTTGCATCTCATGTGGATTTGAGGGAAGCCCAGGAGGAGACTCTTACTGCCCTAGTCTCGATCTGTGCTCAGGAGTGCTTTTTAGACCACAAAGCTCTGTTCTCTTCTTCCTTTGGGTCTGCACCACAGCCACCACTGAGTGAAAAAACGCCCTACTGCCAGGTCTACATGCTGATTCTGCATTGGAAGAACTGTCTAAATTAATAGAGATGATTTTATCAAAGTACCCCTGGCTGTGAGTCAGCCCATAAAGGGAATGCAGTTACATGATTACAAAGGTGCCTTTTTCTGGCACAGCTCAGCTCCTTGCCTGCACAGGATGGGGTCTGCCCACCGGTCCCAGCAGCCTGCCCAGCACGTGTGCGGCACCACAGCCCTTCCATCATACCAACATGATTAATGTGGTAAGATGCAACTGGGGAAGTAATGAGAGGGTTGTTTTTTTTAAACTTAAAAAGAAACAACACTTTTGGAGTAAACAGGATAAATTTTAGGAGAGCAAAGATAACATTTGTTTTAAATTTTTATATGTCTGTTCTGTCAGAACTGCTGTCTTCTTAACACCTTAAATACATCCCTGAAGCCTTCTGGAACTTTCCCTTCTTTGAGGTAAGAGAGTCCTCTTTTTCTTGGGGAGCTACCTGAAGGATTGGAGATGCAGCTTCTCCTTCAAAACAGTCATTTTTACTTCCAGGGCCATTAATCACATTTTCAGGACCACACTTAGTGGCCAAGGCCACATAAAAACAAGCGGGGTTCACCAGAGCCTGCTTCCTCCTGAGTCTATATCGCACTAAGCCTTTTAAACCACCACTTTTTACCTTGTCCTTTGCAGCACAGAATTACAAAGCTCCAAAGAATTTATGCAGAAGGGAAGAGGCTACGGGAAAAGAGGTAAATTTAGGATTCCCACATGCGGCGCGGGTAAGTAAGCCTCAGATCTGCAGCTCTGTTTTTAGGCTCCCAAGTTTGACAAGAAAGACATATTCATTTGAGGGACATAGGATGCTAACTGCTGGGATGATTGCGATTGCAACAGTGCACTTGCTCCTTAGCAATGAGTTATGAAAGACAGATGAGCTGTATAGGGGATGTAAGCACGGAGGTATTTTCCAGAGCTATAACTGCATACGGGATATAAAAATTTGGGGTAAGTAACTCTCTTCAAAAACAGGGGCAGAAGAGATTTTAAATCCAGTCTGGGGACGACAGCCGAGTTACAAAGAAATCCTTTCCAAATAAATAAAAGGATAAAGAAAAGAGAAAGATTTTACTACTATGAACTTTATTACCCTACTGCTAGGAAAAGAATGCCTTTTTGTCTGCAATGAAATTGCACACGTGTAAGTGTCTGACTGTTAAAATAAGCTACAACTATTAAATTCTATTACAATACTAGGTGACTTCAGACTCTGCTTTATAAGTTCATTAACAGAGAATGACTTCAAATGCTTGAGGGAACAGTGCACTAGTGCACTTAATCTTATATTTTAATGTGTCAGTATGTAACATGAGCCCGGAACTGCTGAATATTATATTATTAAATGTAAATACAAAATTAATTATAAAATACAAATATATCAGGGGGTAGAATTTGTGGGAAACAAACATTCCTGCAGCGTATTAACAATTACAGTGAATTTAGACTTTTACAAGACCTAACTGGCCAGATTCTGCTGCTTCTATTGAAGGCTGGGTAGCCAAGACAGGTTAGTCAAAAACCGCTGCCATGCCACAGAAGGTGATCTGTAGTCTGATAAGCACGTAGCCTAAAACATGCCTCTTTGCTTTAATTAATATGGGAAGCAGAAAAATTTCAATCACTTTTCCAGTGGCCACATAAATAAGTAATTATATATGAGCATCAAGTCAGAAATATCTCCTGCATTTAAACTGCATCAGTCATACCAAAAAAAAAGGGCAATCCCTTAATAGCGAGATGGCAATTTTTTTTATTTCTATCTCAATTAGCAAGGATTTAGCACTGGGTATTTAAAATGGAATCACTCAGCTGCCACTGGCTTTGTCTGGGATACATATATATATATATAATCTTTTTCAGAAATTCTGGTCCACATTTATGACTTGCCTTGGCATTTATTCAAATTGCAACAAATGGTTTCAAAAGGAACATGTGTATATACATGTGTACATGAAAACATGTTCCTTAATTTTTCATTCCTACTAGTTTTTATGTCTGTGGGGACATGATGGATCACTATGTCCCACAGGGTATAGATGAATACACGCAGAACCAAGTGGATGGCAGAAGGGCTGAACAACACTGTTTGATTCAGTACTGTCTGCGTGTTTTCATTTCTCTTCACAGAAAAATAAACACTTTGAAGCACTTTGCCAAAATACCTGCTTTGTTTGGCAGAGTGAGAAGGAAAGAAATTCTAGACTGGCTTGGAGTGGATACCTGATCACTCTCTTTCTATTCGCAAACAGAATGTAGCGGTCTTCTATTCCAGAAAATAAACACTCTGCAACTAAAGGTGCTCCATTAACTATAATCAACGTGTGAGTAGTCCAGCGTGGCAGAAGTTTTCCTAAAATCAAGAATTTTCCCTTCCAGGCCTGCCCCCCCCAACTCCTATATTATATCCTACAGTTTAAAATCCACTTTATTTTATTGCCGTCTATTGTGTTTAATGAAAAACTTCTCATGAGCCAGGAAGTAGCTGTTTATAGCTGTGTGTTGTGGAAATCACAGTGAAGGATTAGAAACTGGAGTAAAATTGGTTACAGCTGTATTGAAGAGCATATGCACAAGACAGAGCCAAGCATCCCCCTACACACCCTGACTTCGCTTTTCCTCTCATCCTTCTGGACTGTTCCTTTTCCATGCACCTGCTTCCATCCATTGCTATGAAATCTGGAGATTTGACTTTTGATTTGTTGCTCTGCACTCTTTTTTTTCAGCTGAACGAACTGAGCTGTGAGTCAGACTTTACGATATTATAGAATAAACCTGTTTTGGATTGCAGCCATTGGACACGAGAAACTAGACACAACGGGGAATGTACTCCCTGGAAATAAACCAAGCAGTCTGGAAAAAGCGAGAGCTATCCTAATTTGAGTGCAATCTTCGTACCAAACCTCAAGTCTTTCACAGATTCAGTGGTCTGCTTAATTAGTCCCATTCTCACTTGATCTAAGGACCATCTCCTACCCTGGAGGATTTGCTAGTATTCACCAAAACCAAGCAGGAGTCTCAGAAGTCTGAGCAGACCTCCACTGTGGTAATCCTTAGTCACCATTGTCTTCTCTACAGAGACAATGAGACTTCTATGTCTGTGTTATGGGACGGGGTGGAAAGAGAGCCAAAAGTATAACGTCTCATGCAGAGAGCAGTTATTAGTCTCCAAGAGGAAAGCAGTCACCTAAATCATTCCTCAGACTTGCACTAATTTCAAAGAAACCTGCTCACTCATCTTCCAGCCAGAAGCCAAAAGCTCTGCCAAAGCATCAGGCAGCCCAGGCAGGTCTGGGAAGCAAGCGTGAGGGGAGGAGGGGGGAAACGGCCAAGAGTAGTTTGGGAACGTGCACGGTAAATGACTGGAAAAGTAAACAAGTCAAAATTCCAACAATTTAACATTTTATCAAAAATTTGGGGTGGGAATAAAAGATTAAGAATCAGCCAGACTGATCCATTACAATACTGGCATTTAGCACAAAGCTAAAGTTTGGAAATGGCAAATATGTCATAATTCCACATTCAATTCGAGGAATTAAATGTTTTATGGATCTAAGAAAACGCTCTCATTCCTTCCATCTATGAACCATCTGTGGCAGATTTGTATTTACAGGGAGAGAGACAAGGAGTAACACGCCACAACGTCACCAGCATTCCTTCCTCAGCAGAAAAGGAATTAGAGAGAAATTAATTGCAGCATCGGCCAAATGAACGATCAGCTGAATGTATTTTTAGAGCTGCCATGCCATACGTTTCAGATCTACATGCATCTGTGTCACAAAAAATTCAGCTAAGAACAGCGATGGAAGAATCGATGCGAGCCATGTATTTATGTACCTGTTGTTTGCCAGGTACTTAATGAGGGGCTTGACTGTTCAAATTGCAATGTTTCCACTTGGCCAAGAAGATCAAGAATGACTATTAGAAAATTTCGAGTTAATAACCCAGATAAGTGACACAGAGAACTTCTACTGTGAGACATCCAGTCTCCCCAGATTAAGAGCAAACAATAACATATATGATACATAATATATATAACAACTTTTGCCAGCCAAAGAGAAGTAAAATATTCAAGGTACTGACTGGTTTTTATGTCACTATAAGACATACAGGCATACACAGAAAACATACAAGTGATTTATTTAAGTAAGAGAGATGGACATCTTTTACTAGCATTTTAACTGGAAAAAAACATTGTTTCCCTGATACCAATTATTCTGCTTAGAAGAAAAAGTGTTTATGTAGCCATGAAAACCAAATGTTCGCGCTAGTAACTTTTTAAATGCTACTTCAAATTCCTACTAAATTTATCTATAAAAGACTTCCCTTTGTTGTTGAGTCTAATGTTAAACAGCCATGCCACCAGCCTTTTATTTTATTTATGTTATAATAATGCCCCTAAGGAAGAGGGAATCCTAGCTACAGAGGTATTTCCCGTGCCAGCTTCTATGCTAAAATTGGGATAGCCACATTGTACAAATTAAGGATTTAAAATAGGCCTGTTCACCAGTATGAAAAACTCAACACCCCTGCAGAGTTTAGCTGTAAACTTGGTCCAGCTGATAAATTCAGAACAAAGCACACGTGTAGGCTTTTTGCAGCAATATCCAGTTGATATTCTAACCTTTCTACATAATGACTAGGATGATATTACCAAGTGAGGAACTGTCAAATATACAGATATGAATCATCACGCTGTGACCTTTATATGAATGTAACAGAAAATATTTCAGATTTCAATACCTAGTTTGGCACTCAGCTACAAACAACCTAATGTAAAATTTGTTGGTAATCCCCACCTGAAGCGATACCGGTAGACTTGAGATAAGAGGGCAACTTGACATGTACACCACCCTAGCCTCATCTCTTAGTTTCAGGCCATGGAATATCTTCCATCATAGGCCAAGCTAGAAACACATCCAGTAATTTCCACTGTTTTCATATAAACAACATAAATCACCTAGATCTAAGTCAGAATTAATACTGATACAATAGGAAAATAATAGCAAGCTGAATATGAGTTGTACCTTCGTGACAGGCAGTTCCTTGGATTTAGACTCAAAGAGATGCTCCAGTTTGGAAGTGTCCACCTTAATGGGTTCCAGTTTTGACCACAGGAATTCTCTGCAGCGTTTGTTGTTTTTACACTGCCACTCAAATGGCCGTACCTCGTTCCAAAACAGACGGATGGTTTTCTTCTTCTTTATAAATGCTGGCTGACCCCTAGAAACCTGGGGTGACCCTAAACCCTGAGGAGTGCTGAACAGCGGAGGAGGAGCTAATAAATTAGCAGAGGGTGGAGGTGGAGGCGGACATCCAAACAGTGGGGGAGGTGGCGGAGGAGGCAAACCCAGAAAAGAAGGTGGAGGTGGAGGAGGGGGAACAAGGGAGTCCCCAGGACCCATATCCATGTCCAACACATCTACATCATCCTCCTCCCCCAAGTCTGTAAAATCCATGTCTTTGATTTTAAGTTCTCTAGGATTAGCCATGAGCTGATCCCAGATGTAGTCAGATTCCTTCTTTGGCTGTGCTGGTGTTTTCTCGGGGACCTGTTCACTGATTTCATCTTCAGGCACGGCTGTCCCCTTGGCCAGCTCACCACTGTTGAATTTTTCCGCAAAGGCTTTCACGCTGCCTTGGTTGTCCAGATTTCCGATCTCCATCTTTTTGACACTTTCATCTTTGGCCTGCTTCGTGGCCTGAAGGATGGAGATCCTACTGGCTAGGCTAGTGAGTGACTCCTCGCTTTCCTCCGTCTCCTTCTTTTCCTCCTTCGCCTCCAGCTCCTTCTCCTCTTCATCCTTGGGCTTTTTGTTATGCGCATACAACATGTCCAGCATAAACCGCTTGTTGTTGAGGATGTTGCTGCACTGCTCATTCACACCAGCATCCTGAATGGTCTGCGACCACGGACCTGCAATCACACACACACAGATGGGAAGAGTCAAGGGGAGGGAACATTCTTCAACCCACCAGAAAAAATCTGGGGGACACATGCACAATTAGTCTGACACTGGGCAAGCAGTAGCTTTGAAAACTTTGAAATAAGTGACAGTGCTTATATATGGCCCAATCTTGATGGGCTGGGAGTAATTCTCAAAAAAGGAATGGGAGCAGAAAATAATCAGCATCGCTTGGGAGGGACTACGTAACTGTGAGGATTTCAAGGTTCAGGTTTCTCCTGAAATCTGTCAGGTTTCACTTTGTACTTACTACCCCAGCGCATTGTATACAGTGCATAAATGCTCAGAATCTTTAGTAATCCAGAATGGGGTTTAAATGGCACAAAATATATTATCGTCATATTTTTCATCTGGACATAAACTGGAACCACCCCAGGAAAACTTCCTTATGGAAAAGATCTTCCCTGACTGATGTCAAGGTCAACATGTAACTGCTTACTCCTCCTCCTCCTCTTCCTCCCTCCCTGCAGGCTAGAGGAAGACAGATTTCACATCTGGCTGTTCCTCAGACCTCCCAGCTGGGTACCTGGGCTACCTTCGCAACATGGACTATTTGAATCCCAGAGCAGGCTGCATACCCAGGGTACAGCTCTCAGGGCAACTCAGTGAGTATAAGTGTAAACAAGATTTTTAAAGTTCTTTCTAGGAATATGAGCACCTTTATAAAAGATTTTTGAAAATGCTGCTCATCAACCACTATTACCCTCCCTGTAATATATGACAGCATTGAAAGCCTAACGGTCTTCTTCCCACATCATGGTCATTTAACATGTCACTGTAGTGAAGCTTCATCTTTCTGACTACTGCTTTTCTCAACAATAATCTGCAAAATACGATGTTTGAGACAGCACCATAAATAACAAACTATAGCAGTCAAATTGTAAAAATAAATGATGTAAGCGTCTCTTCGACTACATTTCCCTGAATATAATACTGCTAACCAATGTGGATAATGTGTCTAAAAACTATGGTGCTTCTTTTTCCAGCGGGCATTAGATGAAGTGATTAAACATGGACAAAGATAATTCTTCACACTTACTGTATTTCCTGTACGGGATTCCTTCTGGTCCCCATAGTCTTCACACATTTTATTAATATATTTTTTTATAAACTCTATTTCTTAAACACATTTTATTTTGATTGCTAAACTGCCTTACTTTTGGCCCCTTGTGGTTTCTCTTAAACTTCCATTTTATCTTTGTTTCTCCCCTTATGTTCCTACCTTTTTCAATACTTTAGAGTTTTAAACATCTTTTACAGCTTCCTCTGTCAATTGAGTTGCTTTCTTACCACGACATCTAGTCCTGTGCTCTGAGAAGGTGTCCCCTCCGTAAGATCCACATCCAGGGCCCCACAAGTCCCCCTGGCCCCTTTAAAATAACACCATTTTAAAATGTAGGACAGGTCTCACAGCACAAAGCATATGGACAGAAATGACTCTCACCTCTATTCAGATCAACCTCTAAACCACGTTTTAAAATAAGTCCAGAGGTTTAACCCCAGACAAAAGAAAGAGTTTTTTTCAGCAATGGATACAACCTCCAAAACTGCTTCCTTCTACTTTCCTGCAGGAGGCTTGACTTCTTCCATTATCTGTTTATTTTTCCTCAGACTTTATCCATGGGATTGCTTTCTCACCAAGATTTGGCACCTGAGGTAGTCTCTTGGATTTGTCTCTGAGGTAGTTTCATTTGACAACATGACTAGACAACTCCTTCCCCACACCATAGATTTTACCCAGCTGAGCCCCCCGAGAGGATCTCCCCCTACTCCCAGCCGTTTCTTCAAAGATGTTCAAGATTGCTCCCAGGATCCCTTCTACAAATCCCACATGACCTACCCGCTCTCAGCTTCACCAGCTGGGATCCTGCAGGATTTAATCCCTTTGCAAAACCGCTCATCAAAATTCCTCCAGACATGATCTCTAATTTGCGCTCCCCAAGTCTGCATCCATCTGCCCTAGCTGATCAAAGATTATTGCTGTGAAGACTCTTCCTACCTTGGTGGCCTCTTCTGCCCTCCTCTCCACAGGTAAAACTTTGAAATACCATTGGAGAAACAAGACTTGTCGGAGGCCAAATTCAGCAGGATGACTAATGAAGGAGAAGCCAGGATCAAAGGCGTCATTCCTTTGTCCTTAATACATCGGGGCAAAACCAATGGGCCACCTCATAAATGGTAAACTGCTTGTTGGGAATGTGAGAACTGCTGGAGAAAGTGCTCTTATTTGCTTTCCGAATCTCCTCACTTACTAGAGAATGAGCAACTCACTACATGAGACGTCCTACATAGCACAACCTAATAAATCTTTGGTCTACTGGTAACGTAGGCCAATTTTAAGATGCTGATTTTTTGATAACAGGGTACGTTTCTTAGCTTTTAACAAAAAGTACATGAGCACTTTAATTAGAGTGGTAACAGGTTGGTAACAGACAAGATGAGGGGAAAAAATGCTGTAACCTGTTCTCCCTTACTTGCACTTGGACTATCTTGGACTATACCACAGTGTAACAACATTCTTCGTCTGTCATACCTCCCCTCCCTTTCCTACATAAACACCCATCTACATTCTTTAAGAGTACAATAGCATTCTAAGTAACTCAATATTGGTGCTGGTTGAAAAGAAGACAGCTCTTAAATTTAGAATAAAATTAACTTAATGCTTCTCAGAAAAAAAAAGTGATTGGGTTTAAACATGAACAGTACAATCTGACAGTTTATCTCTGTGAGGTAATCCTTGTAATTCAGTGTCATCCTTCTTTCAGGAAAGAGCAAGACTATTTCACACTGTGAAGCAATTTTTGTTTTCTTATCTAGAATTCAGAAAACTTAGGACAATGCACTCCCCTGTTCAGCCCTAAGAAGACTTGGAAACCAAATGCCCCAATTACATTACATTCCTTTACCTCTCTATAAAAAAGTAGAAAAGAGGAATTGATCAGTGAACGTCAAAATCTGCCTTTTACTCCCTACCTGGGCTGTGTGTCAAGCTCTGGTTGTCATTATCTCTCCAGGCAAAAAATTGGTTCCTAAGGTGTTTTCCAGGCTGGGCTACCCTTTACAGGTGCCTGGTGGCATATCTGACCAGAACCATAGGTCACTACAGAACTGGTCTTTTCTAGACAAAGTCTATTTCATGCGCCTCCTCCACACCAGCTAAGGATGGCCACAGCCCAGATCTATCTTCAGCAGCTCCTATGTATCTCTCTCTGCTTTCTGAAGTCTAGCCAAGACAGGAAACTGGAGGGAAGGAACAAACATCCCAGTCCTCATTGCTCTTCCTCTTCCACTAAAAGCTAATAGCATGAGAAAAGGTATCTGGAATCTCATGACAAATGATGTCAACAGGGTCCCTCCTCTCATTGTTTTATGTGTTGAAAACTCAAATAAATTCGCTGGGAGCTAGAGATGCAAGTCACCGCAACACAATGATTCAATAGTTAATACATTAATTTAGGGGAAGAAAATGGTCTCGAGTCAAAGGAAACCTCATTTCATCAAGGCCTTACTGTCCCACAAACATAGAAACCCCATCAGAGCCTATGGATTTCCAAGCAGAGAATGGAAATGGATTTGGCCAGGGCGATGGAAGTCTTAGATAGGCGCAAAGGGTTTATTAGCTAATTAATACAACAACAGAGCGGCTAATTTAACATGTTTTTTTTCCACCAGAAACCCTTCATTATTGAAAAAGCTTCACTTTACCAGTTTCATTGTCACTGGTTAACTTGTCCTCTCTCTCTTCCCTCTCTAAAGTGCTGCTTGCTGAGGATATGCTGGATGCAGAGCAGTTGTCTTTTTCATTCACTTCCTCATTCTGCCTCTCTTTTTCACTGAGTATTGCACTTTCTTCTGGCTCTCTCTCTGGTCCTTGCTCCACCTCACTCTCTGGTCCCACCTCTGTAGCCTCTATTTCCTTGGGTGTCTCCGTTCCCTGCTCGGCCTCAGCCTCAGCCTCCTGCTCTGGGTCTGGTTCTGGTTCTGTCTCTGGTTCAGGTTCACTGGCACTCACTGGCGGAGAGAACAACGGGAGAAAGAGATTCACTTAACGACAGAGTCGTCTCAGGCTCACCCCTCTAAACGAGAGCGATGTGAAAGTTGTACAAGTGCCTTATGGAAAGAAAATAAAAAGCAAGTCCACGGCATGCTGAACATTAGGAGCAACAGACTGATGAATGTTGTGCGATGACAGCATTGCATGTGAGAGTGGCCTGGCAAACCCCCTCGCTTGCTGTCTGGAGCCAGCCCACTGTTTTTATACATACTTCCACAGCTGGAGTGTTGGACTCGCATAAGGATTTGAACGAATCTGCAGAAAATGGGCATCCCACCTGAGCATGACATTGACAACTCAGTGCCTAGACAGAGCCAGGAAGAAACAGATCTTTTAAAAAACAAAAAGGAGGGAAATTGTGGCTTTTGGTTGAATTTTCTTTGGATTCTGGAAGAATTCTTTTTTCACCTGATGAGGAACACTTCAACGAAAAAATACACATATTAGTTTTATTAACACAGTTGAATGGCACAGTCTGGAAATGGCACTGTCACACATTTGTCTGACAAAACCCATATGTTTTTTCATGCACATTTGCTTCAGAAAAGCCACATCAAAACTGCACAAAGTTTCCAACTGCTTGGCATATGGCACAAATTTAGTTTCCAGTTGGTTGGCATATGGCATACGATGAGCTTTTTTATCGGTTGGCACACAGCAAACACTGTTGGTAGTACACTTGGTTTCTTCTTCCTTGCTTTATCACTGACAGTGAAATTCATTCATTCACCTTTATGGTTTTTAGCTAAACCAGCAGATTTTTCACATGCAAATATTCTCTGCATGCTGCAAAGAAACTGAAGAGCATCCACACATATTCACAGCAAGCAGCTCACAATTTGCTGAAAACTGAAATGGCCATGCAAGAGTGATGAAAATGGGCATGCATGTTAGTTCTGCGTAGTCCCCAAATTCCCTCTGTATTAAATCTCGTGCTGTGTGGCTGAACTACAATGACCAAGTCATACTTGTTTTTTCCCCTCTGTTAACTACTTTTCGTTACAATATTGCAAAAGAGCCTTCTGGACTTGTCATGGTCTTGGGATTGCATGATACACGATGAGACTTTCTTCAAGAACTACATGAATCTTTGCAGGAAAAAAAGTATCGCACTGGAATGCAATCCAAACATTTTAGTCCTCTAGGGAGCAGGTGAATAGATTTATCCTGAGAAAGTGTAAGCCAAAATAATGAAGGTCACAATGTTTTCCTAAGACTGTTTCATGTTGCACGCCTATCCTATTTTCTGAGACATCCACACAAAGAATAATGATTTCTAACAATGCCTGTGCCTATCTGTACAACACCACATATATTTTCCAACTAGCTTTCAGCAATGCATCTTCAGTGCCACACTATTCCACTTCATTTCATATAATTTAAGCGTACAAAACTGCAAATGATTTTTTCCACTGATTTCGTTGAAGCTACGCTTCTACACTTTCATAATTGATTTTAAGTGTGTAGTTAAATAACCAGACATGCATATAATACATTTGTATAAAAGAAATGTACACATAACATGTTTAATATATAGCCAGTGCTCACCCAAATCCCTCTAAGATGTTTTAAAACACTCCCAATTACAAGCTTACCCTTCTCCCTCTTCTACATAGACAGCATCTAAAAATCTAATATTAGATATGCGAGCAGCTCTGCACATGTCTTGTCTCTCTAAGGGTACCTTACCTGTGACTGTACCCTGGACCCTGCCTACGAGAGAATCAAAATTATAGAGAGCTGGCAAGAAGTTGGCAGACACTCTGAATCCCTGTGGTGTGTTTCTGACTACAGCTGTCTGTGTGCAGGTATAGCACAAGAGCATTTTAAAGTCAAGCCAAGATTTGAATATAACTGAGATGCAAGCTTAGGAGTCCTTCAGGAGTTCCTGGAACTAACATGGTACTGTAGCATGAAAGACTGAGCTTGCCACGCTGCAATGGTCCATATATACAAATGTCATCTATTCATCACAGTTTTGTGTGAATTTTAGATGTTTCTCTCTAAAACAAAAGCTGTCATGCAATAACCAAAAAGGTCAACTCGAACAGCTCAGGTGGAGAAAGAAGCTAACACATGGCCAGGACTGCTAATGCTTATGGCACCTTTGTCATCACGAAGCTACACTGAAGATTCAATAGGATAAAGTCAGGGGAGACTCTTCAAACAAGCAATATTCCACACATACCAGAAAGATGCAGTATCTTAGCAGAATCTAATAGATAACAAAGAGTAAAGAGCAACATACTGACACAGGCTGGTCTTTTGAGTTCAAGGAGTATCAAAATCTGAGCACTTCTAGGACAAAACAGGGATATGTTGACACTCATTTTGACAGTCTCTCTCTCTCTCTTTAGGGATAATATCAAATAATCCACCAATAACCCAAATAACTTATGAATAGTGAGCTAAGTCCAGTAGCGCCTCCCTTAAAAAGCAGTTTAAAAATCAAATCTGTCAGCAAACACTAGCTAGAGAACAAAGCCAGCAACCTGGATGTGTGTCCATCACTTGCAATTCCATTGTGTAATCCATTGGGCTGCTGTTGGTGAGAACTTCTAAAGATGTTAAAAAATACCATTTTCAGTGAATGCTTGGTGGTGGCCTATTTGAAATGAGCTGGAACTTTCAGTCCCGTATCTGCTGGATCAATTTTCACACCAGACAAGACACTACTTTAAGTGGCAACCTTGCAGGTGGCAACAGAGTTAAATAACAGACCAGGCTCTGATCCCTGTCTTCAGACTTCTGCTGGTGGAGAGTGCGAAGACTCAGGGAAGCAAGCACGGTCATATCAAAAAGCATCAACAGCAAAGAAAGCATTCCTGAGACATTAAGAAATGTGATGCTGTTATAAGCAACATATTTTCTTTTTTTTTTTTAAAAAAAAAAAAAAATCATTACACTTATACAGTTCTTAACACCTAAACTGGGATCACCACATTCAGCAGTAGAAGTAATCTCTTTTCACTTGCATATGCTATTTTTCACACTTCTCTCAAGGCTTTGCTTCCCTGCCGCCTCCCCTCCATTAAAACAAATGAGGGAGTTGAGGTCTTTAAATAAGCAGAAGTTTTACTTGCAATTGGATTAATCAGGAGGAGGAAAACTGAATGCGGCTTTAAGGACTAATTTTTGAGTGATATGCCCACTTCTTTTTCTGCCAGAACTTAATCTCCAAAAAAGCATGATTGGAAAAAAATGCAAAGACTTCTCGGAAGAATGAAATCTCCCAAAGAAGCTGTGTAACCTCATCTCTAAAAGAGATGGTAGCAGGGTCCCTCAACAAATGTGTAAAGATTTTGTCGTTTTGAGAGATGGTGTAATCTGCATCTTCTGACATCTTCAAGACTTTGCCATGCAAAGCCTTAGCCACCTGATCTGCTACCATCTAATCGGATGTTCGCGATAGCCCTCTTTTGAGTGAGAGGTTAGAGAGGACAGCAAGACGCTCCCTTCTGAAAAAGATGGCTACGAACTTGTAATGCTATACAGGGATATGGAGGGAAATGACTTTTCTTTCAATACTCAACTATAAATGAACTCTGAAGCAGACACAAGATGTTGTATCCTCAGTACCTGCTGATAGGACCTCAAACTCCCAGTCCTTATAAGCCCTCGGAGAGAACAAACATCCCTCTGGGCCCACATCTAATCCCTTGCCAGGGTAATAGATTAGGCAACCTCATCTTCATCTGTTTTCTCTGCTCTCCACTTGGAGCTGGGAGATACATACACTAAGTGTCTCTTGAGGAAGCATACAGTAAGTCTGAAGACGGTTATAGCTACCCAAGCCCTCTTGATTCAATTGTTCAGAAGTCTTGGCTGTTATCTCCCTTCAGTTCCTCCAGCACAGGACTCCTCTGGCTGTGAATTCAGCAAGGAGTCTCTCTCTTTCTTCACCCCCACCCCAATCTTTTCGTCCCATTCCTTGTGATGGTAAAAACTAGCACAGAGTGACCACCAGTAGGGAACCTGCTCTTTCTTCATCAAGTCAGAAATGATCTTTCTTTGTCCCCCAACCCAGTTCCTCCTCTGACTTTCTGTACCATGGTTCCTTTGGCTCTACACCTGGGGCCGCAATGGCCTCACTGCACCCTCATGCTCTGGTGCTTCTCCATCTGCCGAGATGCTTTCACCAGTCATACTTTAGGCAGTATTTGAACCTTGCTCAGCTACTAATATGTTCAGAAGGTTTCCTGTTGTCCACAATGTGCACTTGGGTTGGCTTGCTTACTTCCTCAAGTGCTAAAAAAGCTGCTTCTCCTAGAGAAGGGTTCATCTCCAACCCCTTTGTGGATTGACTTCAGAGATGTCTTGGTTATTGCTGCTCTCCTTTACTGCACATGCCCTTCATAAAATATTCTCCAATGAAATTACAAAAGAGGAAGTAGCTGCTCTGAAAAAAAATATTAAGTTCCATTTTGCAGTTACGGGACTGCCTTCATTTCCTCTGAATGCCATACCCCAAGTTTTACAAGAGTAAGTCTTACAAGACTTGATTACTTTAGTGGAACCCATTGTTTTATATGAGAAAACACTTCAGCTCAGTAAGTCCAGATTTTTATATTGGGTAAAGATACTGAGACGTTTCACAGCGTGGGACAAAGTTCCACAGACAAAATCATTTCCTTCTTAAGCGCAGTAGATACTGGATGGACAAAGGATAGTTCAGCACAAACAGCATAAAATAAATCTGACTCCGAAAATCGCTTACTGTTTTGCTAGTAGAGGAACATGCTTCCCGTTTGACTTCAGGTTCTGAATTCTGCAGACAAATATCAGACATCCGTTAACACCGTTCTTGCAGAGTCTTTGGAGGATCCTATGCACAGAACCAAGGAAGTGTTTTCTTTCTGCAGTTTTATCCTTGCTTAGGAAGACGGTGACCCCCATGTTCAAAGCAACTGCTTGGGGTGCAAGTAATCTGGGTTCTGTCTATGGCTCTATTTCAGCTTTCCTACAACTGGCTTAAGCAAGTTAATGCCTCAGTTTCTCTATCTATTAAGTGCGATTCATAACATTTCCTAAGGACAGCAGAAGTTGAGATTTTAATTCGTTATGGAGCATAAGGAACTCAGATAATAGTCTAGAGACCATGGCACAAAATCTGCAAATAAGCCTGCCAGCTGTTGGCTGATATCCGATAATCTGGCCACCTCCAGACGCGAGAGCCTGCCCTGCCCACTTGCTCATTACTTTGTATGACCTTTCCAAAGCTTTTGGTAGGCCTGAAGCAGCAGTTCTTCCTCATGCACAGCTCCCACTGAAGTATGCAGGTTTCAGGCCCCTGTTCTGGTGCTGTCCTGGCCATCTGCCTGCAGCTGCCCTTGGCTGGAGGCTTATCCTGCCCCATCCACATATTCTCTCCCTGCAGTCCATTTGCCAGGCTTCCAGGTGCTGCCCTCTGATGCCTATTGATATTGCCAGGAGTTTTAGTAGAGATGTCCTGCCTACCCACGTGTTGATAGCTTTGCCATATTCTGGCTGCCTGAAGTTGCCCTGTACACCTGCTCTAAATGTATTCTCCAAATGGATTGTGCTGCTCCATTTCATGCCGCAATTTTTTTGAATGCTTCCAGCAGAAATATGTTAAAATAATCATCATAAAAGAGATACTTGCTCCCTACCCAGCTCTGAAATCCTAATGGTGGAAAAATTCAGCTTATTTGCTCTAAAAGCAATATTGCACTCAAAAAAAATGGGCATCTGGATGTTTCTGAATATCAGTGGTACAGGAAAATATCCATGTTTTTTTAAGTTCAAATGATTCCACTGAGACTTTTAAGGTGCCAGACAAGAAAACTGGGAACATAATTGGGAAAATACATAAACGTAAATTAAATAAACTTCACCTACTTAGTACGGCGAGGATAAACATATGCAACATTCAGTATTTGTAACTTTTTTCTTAAATTGCTTTGCTTTATAGCATGCTACCAGCCATAACACTCAATAAAACCAAGCAGTGCAAGTTACAAATGCATTAATCACCAATAGCACATAGCAGGAAATCAAATCAAATAAAAATGAATGATGGCGATAATTCACCCTCAACATGCATTCTAGCTCCCAATGTTAATGCAACATCATGTGGTGTAAATATAAATCTGTACGGTGGGTGTTTTTTTGAGGACTGAAGGAGGGGTACATGATGCAAGTGGCAGAATGACGTGCACACAAGAAAAATATTGCTCTGTACACCAATAAATTATATGACAGCAAACCAACCGTGCAAACGCTAATTATACTTTCCTTTTTACTAATTGTCTGTGGTCTCTTTTAAGTCCTTTACTACTTGTGCTACAATTTTAAGAGTTTTTGTTGGTGTTAAAAATAACCAACACACCCTCCCTGCCTTCAATTCAAGACCTTTTCTGCTTGTCCCATTCAGCCTGTGCTCTGCTGGAAGGTTATTATAATCTTGGCATTCATCTGTTGCATTTCTTTCAGAGAAACCACATAAGCAAAATCTGTTGGCAGGAATATTGTTGGTTTAGTATTCAGTAACTTCTAATATACAAGGAACATGATGCTAAAATTAAGACCCTCTGTATGCTGTATTTTCCAATTATTCCATTCTAATAGCAACAGACAATGATAATATAAATCATAGCAACAATTAGCAGTATATTCTTTGCTTGAATAGACTAGAAGACATCCAAATCTATGGGAAAAAAAAGAGGAATTTTAGGAAGACAATGAAACAATATAATAAGACACTTTACTTTGGGACCTCAGAGTTTATATTCTTGCACTCATGCATCAACACTCACTGCTAGCCCGAGAGAAACTGTGATAAAACCACTGCTCTTTCCCCTGCCCTCCTTTTCACTTACCTTCTGAGGGCTGAGGGGTCCCACAAGGGGTGGAAGGGGTCTTCAGCTCTTCCTGGGACTCTATGGATGCTGGGCTGATGCTCTTGGGTACAGGCGAGGACGGGGCTGAAGGAGATCTCAGGTTCAAGGACAGCTCACTTCTGCCTCGGCTTACGCTCCGACTCCTCAGCTCCTTCTCATATTCCTCCGCTGCCAATCTCTCCAAGTATTTGTATCTGAAAGTTAAATTCCAGAGGGTTTCCGTAAAGAAAAAGAAGTCTGTGGCTGATGCTTGTTTATGGATGAAACACCTGCAGAGAATGAGCTGACTTCCTGACACAAGGGGTACAGCACTAAACTGCCTGCCTGGTCAATCTGCCAAAAAATGAACACCAAAGCAAAGACTATTGCCCTGAAAAACATTAAATTGCTCATGACAAAACAAAAGCAAAAATCAGCAGAGTTAGAGAGTCCTTAGATATAGTATTGTGTCTGCACAGTCCTTCTCCTTTTGGAAGCATTTGTCTGTCCTCCTTTTCACCCTCCTCCTTCACCTCCTCCTCCCAGCCCTCCCTCTTCCAAAACTAAAACGGGAGGGAAAGAAAAACAAAAGAAAAAAAAAAAAAAAAAAAAAACCAGAGCCCCTTAATACGGATGCAAATAGCCAAATCTGAGAATTGCTGCAAAGAGAGGAAAATGGTACAGTGCAGCAGACAAAAACAGATCTCCCTGAAAACAATACCAATAATAAATGTTTGGATTGACTATCTAAAGTCTCTGAACCTGCTTCTATTTGCTCTGAGAGCAATGCACTGGAATTCACTTTGTTCTCTCCAGAGTCTACAATGGAAAGTTTTCTTTTTTTTATTCTAAAAAATTTCCTAAAACGGGAGGGAAAGAAAAACAAAAGAAAAAAAAAAAAAACCAAAACCAGAGCCCCTTAATACGGATGCAAATAGCCAAATCTGAGAATTGCTGCAAAGAGAGGAAAATGGTACAGTGCAGCAGACAAAAACAGATCTCCCTGAAAACAATACCAATAATAAATGTTTGGATTGACTATCTAAAGTCTCTGAACCTGCTTCTATTTGCTCTGAGAGCAATGCACTGGAATTCACTTTGTTCTCTCCAGAGTCTACAATGGAAAGTTTTCTTTTTTTTATTCTAAAAAATTTCTCTGCCGGACTCAGACATCCAATAGCTTGGACCTGACGTCACATGTAGTTTATTCATCAAAGTCACTTTAAAAGAACAAAGATACATCTGTTTTGCATTTTAGGCAGGCAGAACTCACTAACTGTTTATTAAGACCAGCTACCAATCATATTCTTCATAGTGTGCTTTATACATTTCGACCAAAATAGCTTTGAAATACGTGCCTCTTCCAGATGTCTGCTAATTTTATCCACCATTATTTGCTAAGGAATAAATTCATGAATACAGCTGGATTGGGCTTTAGACTGTTTGTCTCACCCACAAGTGAACTGTTAAACAGGTTAATCAAGACTACTGCGTATGTCCCCGAAACACTGTGGTCATCCTCCTATAACCCGCTGTTGTAAACACTTCGTAACAGGGAACACCTCTCCTCCCCCCTTCTGCCTCGCTGACAGCCCAAATTAGTGTATGGGGGTGCATTAAAAGCAGGCACGGTAAAGAAGTCAGCCATTTGTGGTACCAAACACGCTTAGTACATATGGTAGCCACGCACGCATGCACATTTGCAAACATCCATATAGAGCATAGAAATGTGTCTTTGAAGAGCAGTCCTTGTGTTTTCAGAGGCAATTTGCTTTATTGCAAACAGCAATAATGAAGAACAAACTCATTTTCTTTTATTCCTCCAGAGGTATGCACAGGCTTTGAACAAATTCTGCAAGAAAAAGAACCCCTACAGACTCGGGATGAAAATATAACAAGCCACATACTTGTATGGTTATAAAATAGGAACTGTTTACAGTTCTAACATGAAGCCAATTCTCGAGAATGATTTTTGCCTTTTCAATAGAGGAGAAAGCCTTTTGCTGGCATTAGCATAATGTTTCGTTACAGTTCACGAAGCCAGTCTTTCTTTTGACGTCGGTCACTTACGTATTGCGCCTTCCGCCTCCTCACGAGTAGAGCAGATGGGACTTCAGACTCATAAAGAGCCATTCAGACTAATCACTTAGCTCAAACAGGTACAGCCCAGCTGGCTGCTGCCGAGGAGGGTTTTACAGTTTGCCAACAGACTACAACAAAGATCTGGATGGATCCTTCTGTAACGGGGGGAACTACAATGTTTTATTGCCCTCAGCTCTTTTTCAGCTGCTTTAACATTTTAGCTTCTGTAGCTGTGCACAGCACAGCCAATCAGCAAAGCAGTGGACTATCATCAAGACGTGCCTTCTCAAAGTGTATCTGTTCGTTATACTGAAAGAAAAAAGGGAACCAGAACAGCAACTCTAATGGCAGTACATCAGCATAACTAGTTATCAAATGGGAAGCCTAATAAGCAGATACAGCAATTTCACCGAGAAATAAAGATCATTCAAGAATCAGTTATTAACACTTCACACTTGATAAATGACACTTATGTGGGCTACTTTTTGTTTCTGCCCAATGTCTTAACAATGAATGAATGCCAGCATCAAATACACAAGGTCTCACGAAGACCAAAATCTCAAGGAGTTGAAAGGATTAGCTACCATCCCTCTACTGCAATTAGTTCCCTCACTACAGGATTGACACATTGCCTCTGTATATACTGTCATATTCCTTTAAATCATGGAAACCCGCAGACATCATCACGTCTATGACGACTCTTCTCTATAGACAAGGAGCCGAAAGTCTGTGGGCTATCCATTTGGTATACCTCACGAACATGATGTTCCACTTATCATCTCCAAGTAGATGAAAATATCACTGTGAATTCTCTAGGTCTCTAAGCAATGCCCTGAGGGCAATTTAAAATGTTTATGTACCAACAAAGTCACAGGGTTGAGAGCATTTGAGCTGTAAATCACACTAAAGAGGGCTTGGGAGACCACCTTTCTTGGGTTTATTTTTAAATTACCACTGGAAAACTCCCAACCAAGCAAAGCAAAAAAGGCCTCAAATCATCGAAGAGTAAGAACACATGAAAGGAATGGTGCTGAGTTACACTCAGGCTCCTTGAAACTGCAGGAATCTTCCTCCCTCATACTGAGGCCACCCCAGAGCCACTGGAAAAGTGGGGGGCTGTACTCTGGAGCTCCAGGGTGACATGATAGTACACAGAATGCTCCGAAGATTTGATAGGAATTTAGACAAACCAGTGCTTCTAATAGAGTTTTTCCTATGTGCTCAATATTATCTCCTTCTACTTTTCCAAACGGATACGGAGGAAACATACAATCCAGATTTTAACTAGAATTTTAGCACCTTGGCTATAGCATTTTCTTACGGTTCATGCGTTCTCTTAAAACAAGTCAACATGCAACTTGCTATAGGAAATGAAACTTCATTTGTGCAAAGGTGTTTGTTAAAAAAGTAGTTACAGAAGGCCAATGTAATAGACTACTGGTGCAAGACTTCACTTGCAGAAGTTTTCTTCAGTATTTATGTGCTGTCAAAGCAAACGTGTCTTTCCTCTTTATCAGGAAGAACTGATAGTTTAACATTTCCGTTCAAAAGAGCCCTAAGGATAAAGACACATCCCTAATGACCAGTGAAATTGTCTCAGATTGCAGAGCAGTGATGCCCCGCTGGTGAACACTTCCCCCAGAATACTCCAGTTTACTTGGCATATTCCCTCACAACTTGAAAGTGCTGGAGAGCTTGCTTCTAATTTGTTTCAAACCTTGCTGACGAGCATGCTTGCTGTAAAAGGTTTCACTCAGCTAAGCTCGGTGGATGATGCTTATGTGATCAGACACGTTTCACTTCAGAAAATGCTTTAAACTATTTGTAGTTGTTTTGGCTGGAAGGACAAAGGAAAGCCCATCCACCTTTTCTTATGCTTAGAGATGTCAAAACCATTTTTTAATATTAGCTACTTCAGCCACAACAGATCAGACTTCAGTTTGCAGAAATGAACTGCCTGCTGTATGATGGTTTTGTGAAAACAAAACAAAACAAAACGCAGCAATACAAAGATTTCTGAGATGGCTGCTCTCATACTGTGATAATGTAATTCCAATTCTTGACAATCCAAAAGTATCTCCAGAAAGTAACCTCTAGAGGACCATAAAAGCAGAACTGAAGCAATCTGGATGATTTTTCATCTACTGATTGTTCAGTAATGTGCATATTTTCCAGGTAAAAACAAGAGCTCCCTCCAGGGTATAATTACTAGTGGAGGTAGAGATGAAGCTACTGAAAGGCAAAGGTCTTTAGCAGAGTATTGCTTGAAAAATGTGCTTTCATAAGCACATAGCTCCCAGCCTGACCCAGAGTTTATAAACTATTTAATTGAATTAAAAAAAGAAAAAAAAAGCTCATCCCTTTAAATATGCTATTTAAATAAAACTAAAACAATGCCCCAATGATAAACACTGCTAAGCTTTGTAATTTACTCGCTGACATTTAGAGAGATCAGCATAGAAAACTTGGCCCTGAAAGATAAAAATATGCTGGGAGTGGGTCAGAACCATTTCCATCAGCCTGTGACTACAGTTTTGCAATGCTTGTGACCCCAATTTCCTTTATCCTCAGTTGCCTTTTCTGACCCTCCAGAAAGCTTGCGACCCACTGGGTGAGAAATACAGGCTTATTCAATTTATAACTATGCTAAATTTGGGCAAATATCTGAGGCAAACACAGTAAGCTTATTTCCCACACAAACAGATAAAAGATAGATCATCAGTCATTCTTATGCATTCCAGTCCCACTGCTCTTCATTTATTGCTGTGCTTACAGCTGGACTTCATTCTCCTCTTTAATGAAACAACCGCTTTCTTAGAGAAGTCTTTTGGAATAAAAGTGTTCTGTGCATGCAGAGTTAAAACTGTAAACACACGAGCGCTCCACAGTAAAGAACATAGGAAGTGCAAGCAACCACAGGGAAGTACAGATGCATTATATACAAACCTCTCTTCTCTTGCTTGTCTTAGTTCTTCTCTTTTGTCTAAATAATCGCGGCTAAAAAGAGAATTGCAGTAAATTGCAGAGGAAAACAGAAGAATAAGGTAAGTCACAGAAACGTAAGTACAGTAGAAGAAACCACAAGCAGTACAAACAAGCTGACCAGAGGCAATGAAGGCTGCTGTCGACAAAAATTATTAGTTTGTTTTTGTAAAAAAGGCTGAAAGTATGTGTGTACACTTCTCCATGCATACACCACAGGTATGTGTACACCAAATATGTAGTTCAGAAGGTCATTACGAGTAATTATTAAAAAACCCAAAAAGTGAAGAACTTGAAGCACTTTTTGAAACCTGGTATCTGAAATGAGACAAAATGAACCAGACTCATCCATAACGAGCAGGCACATTACTGGCTATTAAATCATTCCTCATTTGCTCCATCTAGAATGCCCCGAAACAGTGACTGCAGCACCCGGCAGGACAGACCAAGGCAGGGAGCATATCGTATTGGCCCTCCTTCTAATATACCTCTCCTCAGTGTGTTTTAGTTGCCATGGTTGGAAAGGGGACAGCGGACTGGCATTACCAAGTAGGACAATTCTTCGGTCTTACAAGGTGCATGCAGGATCATCGGATAGGTAACGACCTTTCACTTCTTTATTTTTCACCCCGAGTTTTAGATACAAACCTCCCTCTATCTCAGCTGCCCCTCCCACAGCTCCTCAAGTAACTCATATAATTCGCTTTTGCCAAGTCAACTTTGCTGGATGCCTGAGCACCATGATTTCAGGCAGGCCTGTCACAGCCACAAATGTGGATGCAAATTTAAGTCGGAGCACAGCAGAACCCAGTGAATGTCCAGCATGCCTCAATATCATAGGAAGATAGTTCCTTACAATACATTTTTAATATTTGGTTGAATCTGGTGGAAAAAACTGATGAGATTTTCACCTTATCTGTTAGATTCTTCTACAACATAATCTGTGAGTACCAGAAAGATTTTCAGAACTACTCCATTTATGAATAAAAGACTGTTTTTTCTCTTTATTTTCTGTCCTCAAATGAATTACTTATCATCTACTATACCAATGGCTATCAAACATCTGCTTGCAAGTGCTCTTCAAAAGTCCATTAATAGGGAGCACACTTACTGTCTCAGGCTATCTCCTCATCCTTTGAATCCCTGAACTGGTTATACTTTTATCATACTTTCAGAGTATTCTTTGGAATTACAATAGCTATGGGAATAACTCCAAGGGAAAAAAACCCAAAACCTAGCAATTTTTCAGCAGGCAAATTTTAACATTACTCTTTACCCTCTGACAACTTTCACCCTTCCCTACAGCTGAAGAATAACCCCTGTATTTTAGGACATATTGTTCTATATATGCAACAGGTACAACAGTCCTTCTACTGAGAAAAATGTTCATTATGTAAAGCATTCCTTTTCTCTTTCCCCTCTGACAACTTTCACCCTTCCCTACAGCTGAAGAATAACCCCTGTATTTTAGGACATATTGTTCTATATATGCAACAGGTACAACAGTCCTTCTACTGAGAAAAATGTTCATTATGTAAAGCATTCCTTTTGCTAGCAATAACTTATGAAGCTTTTTAACACCTCTCCTAAAACCAAGCTCTTTCACAACTGGTGATACCCTCCTTTAAATTATCCTCAATTTGTCAATAATGGTGCCAGAACCTAGTGCAATGTTCTCGAGGCAGAGTTGGAAAGAATGAGATAACAAATGAGTCATGATGGTAAATCCAGTACTGTTCACGAGTTTAAAGGCTGTGAATTGCAAGTGCTATTTTTAATCAAAAATACATCTTCAGAGGCTGGGTTTCTATCCAGACCGATGATACGATAATGTAATCCCAAGAACTCCTACAAAACTGTCCATGACTGTTTGCTGTGGCTTTGTACTCCTCCCGCCAGACTGTTTAATCAACTGTGGGATGCTGTCTGTCTGCGAAGTTTGGTGGCTTTGGAGACCCTCCACTCAAACACAAGTTATAACTTTCGGGTGACCAGGGAACTCAAATCTAGAAGATGAAAACACTGGGCATTGAAAATTTGTCATCTTAAATATGCAACACAATCATGACGTTTAGTTAACCAGTTTCTGACTCTGGAGTAATGGGATGAAGATACGTATTTTAAAAAAATTTGGTTTTCTGACTTTAAGGAAGCTCTTTTAGTGACAGAAAACTACTGTAGCCAACCTCTAGTGAAATGTGCAGACCTGTTATTCAAACAGATCAAGCTGCCAAATATCCTGGTGGCTTTTTTGGTCTGGGAGTTTCCTTTCTAAAAGATCATGTTGGCTGTCCACGGCAGCCTGCTGCAGCCTGATGATACCACTTAGAGGGAGAGTTTTTGGAAGAGGCTTGAAGACTGAGACCTGATTGTTTCTGTTTCAGGAGAACTTGGGCAGCTGTTGGCTGCCAAAGATCCTATTATGGTGCTCTTCCACCTTCCCTCCGCCTCTCATTTTCTTCTAAACTAGCTATCTTCTGGAGCCAGGAGAATATCTCCTTCAATCAACCAACTAAACAACCACTAGTAAGTTACTCCTCTTTCCAAATTCACTATGACACAGACCATTTCCACTTCTTACTAAAGAGATGATTATAGTGAAAACAATCCTGCATACTAATAAACAAGCTCACATGAAACCCAGTGCCATCTTTTCCATAAATACCAACTCTAGGGCTACGAAACATTTATCCTACCATTCTTTAGATTACTGCATTATGTCTTCTAACTACTAAAAATATGTTTACTTTTCACTCCTATTTATGAGGAAACAAATTGGTGTCTTAGGGCACACTCTACAGACAGTAGGAAAACCACTTCAGGTATAGGCTCCTTATCTATCCTAAGCCCACTGAAGTCTTTGCTAATGCCTGTGCTGGGATTTCCAGGCATGGATTTAACAGGAGGAGAGGGCTCGTCTCTTACTATCCTCAGGCAGCACGCCCTGGGATCCCACAGCACACATGTTCTCAGATGTGAAAATGGAGACTCCTATATTCAGCTGGGGCCTTCGTCTGGCCACAGTTTGAGCAGTAATTTTGATAACTACTTTCTGTCAGTTGCTGCTTCCCAGAGGAAGAGACACATGTTCAGAAAAGCAGGAAAAAGTAGTTTAAAAACTCTACCATACATCCTGAGACAGCAAAACACTTCTACTTTGCAGAACATAAAAGCAAAAAGATATCTCACTGCTGTCCCTTCCTCCCTTCTTGATACCTTCCTTCCACTGTTTCATCTTCAAACCCCATGCCTCACTGAGGTAACACTTTGAGGAGTATATTAGCTAATAAAACCTGGCCTCTGCAGATATCCAATCAGTATAATCGGCAAATACACAGCCGCCTTTAAAAAACTTGCTGGTTTATTAAACGCCAAAATTCATCATGATGTGTTTAATATATCAGTTTTTAAGATACTTAGATCCAGAAAGGTATCTAAAGAGACACACAAACTATTCATCAATTCAATTTTGCAACTGAATATCTCAATGATTTACAAATCGATCACACATTAAAGCAACAGACTGAGAGCAAATTTGGTTCCTACTTGAATTTGTTTCTTTCTTCACGTTCTATCCTTTGCAACCTTTCTTCTCTCTCCTGACGTCGTCTTTCTCTTTCTGCTGCCAAGGATTCCTGGTGCTGCCGAAAAGATGATGTAAGGAGACCACCCAAAGCTGGCCTGCAGAGAAGAAAGATCAGATTTCTCAGTGTCACTTTTATTGATTATACTGGCAAAAAATGAGTAGCAATCATTCAGCAAGTAACACAATCCCAACCAACAGAATGACATGGCAATATTTATGTACGGATGCTTCAAAGCACTGGCTAAGTATCTTCTTGTGAAATTGACTTTAGATACAGTGATGAGCTTAAGAGCGACAGACAGGGTAGTGTTCTTAAATTGCCAAATTTCTGAAGCACAAATAAAGTATGTGCAAGAATTCTTCAGTCTATTTCAACTGCAATATTGTCTAAATATTTTTTTTTTTTACTGTATAATCCTGTTAACCAAAAAGCTGAATTCTGTAATGTTTTTTTTTTTTAATTCTAAAGAAAAAAAAAAAAGCTGGAATGTTTTTCCAGCACTTTCCAAACATGTTACGGAATGATGTTAAAAACAGGTGTGTCACAAACACCCGAGAATCCTGTATATAGAAAAACAAAAGTAAAAGAAGATGTCAGAACTGCCCTTCAGAATTCGAATGCTCTCTGAAGTAGGGGCGTATTTTTCCTTTATAAATTAACAAATTCTGTTATCATGATTTCCTCACTGCACGTGCTGCAAGAGCAAAATGAATCACGTATAGGAACATATCAGTAAAATACACAAGCACAGCACAGCTAGCTATAAGAATCATGAAGTGGCATCAAAATCGTTATAAAAAAATCAGAGGAAATGGGGCTGGAGGAGAATAGATTACCCATTTTCCTCTCCTTGCCCAGGGCAGGATTTAGTCTTCTCAAACCATTCCTGAAAAGAGTTTGTCTGATCTGCCTTAAAAACCCATAATGATGGGCATACCACACTCATCTAGTGCTTAACTACCCCTGCCAGCAAGAAAGGCTTCTCTGTTGTCTAGCCTAAATTTCTTTTTTTTGCCATTTAGACCCATTTGTTCTTGTTCTGTCCACAGCAAAAAAGAAAAGTTTACTACCACCTGCTTTATGGCTAAGCAAGAATTAGTCCGAAAGGGGACTTTCTCTGCAGTCCTCTGACCGTAACTATGAACTGGATGCTCCATGGTAGGTTACTGTAATGAAGAAGACTCAATGTCCCCACCAGCAATGCATATCAAACTTGTAGCTGTTGTTCAGGAGGCTGTTAAGACGCATGAGATAAGATGCGTAAATGTCCAGCCAAAAAAGTGGGACTTTTTTTGTCAGAAATGGCAGTCTCTACAGTAAAGACTTCTCAAATATGTAAATGTTTTTTCTTTGAGATGAAACAGTTTCAAGTAGCAAACACTTTAAAAAAGCTACATTTATATTCACTTATAGTTCGGTCTTGACACAGGGTTTTTTTTGTTGTTTTTTTTTTTACTGCAAGTACTACTTTGGCTAGGAGAGTGGCTCCTCTCACACATCTTTCCCCCAACATGGTGGCATCGGTACCACCAACCTCTCACATGACAATAGTGTGACCTCAGAGTAAACGTGTCTGTCTTTCTGTCTCTTGGACAGGAAAAATCTGTATTGTACAGGGTAGCTTTATACAGATGTAAAAGTATCCACACTGATTGAATTAGACTGATAAAATCAAAAAGACATAACTCATGTAGAGCGGTTTCTGTGCATTGTTGTAACATGAGTTTTGCAATGAAAGGATTAATGAGAGAAATAGATACTGCCTTTTCTGAAAAGAAACCAAACCCTGTCTAAAGGAAGGTTCCCAAACCAGCAATGCAAATCTGAATAAATTTTCATTATTTTTAAGAACTCAGACCCTTTCCCTTATTTATTTACATGCCCATGGCTGCACAATGTAGACTTTTAGTGTAACAGTACCGGTTCACCAGTGAAAATAGGTGCAGGAGAAGACAAACACATTAATGCAAACCTATCATCCCCGAGTGTCTATGTCTGTGCG